GAGAGAGAGAGAGAGAGAGAGAGAGAGAGAGAGAGAGAGAGAGAGAGAGAGAGAGAGAGAGAGAGAGAGACAGAGAGTGCACGGCATTTTATGGCACACAGCTAGTTGTTGCCTATTAACAAATAATAACGAGCTTAAATCTCCTGGTGATTGTGGGATCGGACGACAACAACAAGTGTCATACCAGCATTGACAATTTGACAGGCCACGATGACACGGAGAGTGCAGGAAGCACTCGTTGCGTCAGAGGCTCACAGCCAATTTGTAATACTTCACTTTTTTTCCCACGTCTTGCTAGCGCCATGGAGATATTAGAGCTAAGCCTTGTAGTAGATTTTCCTATTCCACCTTTTTTTTTTTTTTTTTTTATAATTATTATTATTATTTCCACCTTTTCCATATACTGCTATCTTCATCTTTTTTCTCCTAATTAAAATTTCAAAATAAACGATTGATTTATTTTGGATCACCAGTTCCAATCCTTATGGAATCCCAATCAGACGACTTCACCTGAATACAACGGGCCGTCATCTTGCTGGCAGGCCACTGAGGCCAATATGTCTCATATGTGTCATATACGCATTGACCTCAGTGGAAAAATCAACAAGCAAAGAATCTGATTCAAAACACCAATCATTGAAGAACGTACTACCAGGGATCATTTAATACGATTTATCAAGCAATGTAATACCCGTCTTCACCCAAATACAACGCCCCCGGGGCGTCATTTTACCGGTATTCGGCACAAGTTTGAGTCTAGATACAGCGATAATAACCATCCATGCTTTGATCAGTCCATGACTCCATGCTATTTTTTTAGTTTATTTTTTGGTGAGGGGGTGAAAACGGTAGATGTCCGTCTGCATCATCATCACATTGCTAATCCGTTTTCACTGTTTTCAATCGAAAACGGTCTATGGATAGATCACCTGATGGCTAAATGTGAAAACAGTCTATGCATAGATAAGCTAAAGCCAAGGCCTCAACTTTAAACAACAGCCGGTCTTAATAGTACCGCTTTTCCCCCGAGTAGAACCCCCGGTCATTATCGGCCGCATCTGGACTGAAAATTGGACCAAATACATCGATAGCGACTGTCACATCAAATACGTTCTATTCGGTTGAAATTCGGCTTTGCCAACAGCTATGGATTCCGAAGGCGAAGATTATAATTATAGAGAAAAGAGAGGCCAATAGCTAGTCATGTTCCTCCGAACATAACGCAGCCCGACAAATGAATGCATACAAGCTATCTTTACGGTCCGGTACAGCCATGATCAGTTTTTTTTTTTTGGGGCAGCTAATCAGGTCGCCATCCTTTTCCAAAGCAAAGTCCACAACTTCACTTCCTATCATCTTCAAGTTTCCGGCTGCGCCACAAAGCACTTCATAAAGTTGATATCGATCGTAACTCGGACATAACAGAACTCAGATTTCTCAGAAAAGGGAGCAAAAAAAAAAAAAAAAAAAAAAAGTAGAAGAAAAAAAAAAAAAAAAAAAA